GCGGCAACATTCTAACCGACTTTCGAAGTTGTCTTAGCGCTGAATCTCTTGAAACACTTGTTTGCAACCAAGATTGGCTCTTGGCAAGACGTCGAGCTCAAGAGTCAACGTACCAACTCGAATTGGAGCATTACATGAATGCAACAACAGATGGAAGTCCGAGTTCTGAAGAATAAGTTATAATTTTTTTTGTTAATGTAAATATGTAATTAGTTTTTTTTAGCTGAGCGATATATAAGCTTCTTCGAGGGTTTCTTTACGGTTCTTTACCTCGTCGCTTTTTTTGAACCGTCAGGATATTAAATGTGGTTGTTCTTCAGTTAGTATATTATTCATTTAAAATATTTAAATAACAATTACATTTTTAGATAACAACTACATTCTGGTACTTCATTCTTTCCTTAAATAATTGCAAATTTAAAACTTTATTCTTAAAAATTTTAAAAAAAGCCAAAAAAAAAAATAGGGGGGTGGGGGGGGGGAGGGCGAAACCGGCCGGTCCGGTACCGGAACCGCTGGTCCGGGAACCGGAACCGGTACCGGCCGGCACGGTGACGGTTCCGATGACATGGGGTGGCGGTACCGGAACCGGCGGTTCCGGAACCGGAACCGTACCGGAATCGTACCGTGTCCACCCCTATTCATTACTGGTCTACACAATGTGATAACTTTTTAAATTTACAAATATTAGGAATTAGGGAAGTTTTGATCACTTCCCAAGTTTGTGTTGATTTAAGCATTTGATTTTCAATTTTGAATTTAGATGTTTTACCCCCTGATTTTATACAATGATGAAAGAGCCTCACTATGAAGGTACTCCGTATTATGCATTTCATCTTCAAGGGAAAATGTGATATATGATATATCATCGCATTACTCATCAAGTTGATAGATCTGCTATATATGATGGAGAGTTAATCTCTTCACTATCTTCCAAACATTCTTTCCTTGTGTTAAGACTAAAAGTATGGTAACATACCTAGCGGGACAGTTCCCATGACATTGCCCGGTAATGTCATATAGGGGTTGATCTGAGAATGCTCCGGTGCCCCGTTTGTAAAATAAACGGTTCCTACCCCATAACTAGATCTGGCAAAACAGAACCGGAACCGATTACCCGAACCGAAATGACTCGAAAAATGAATATCTGATCTATAACCGAAAACCTGAAATGATCCGAATCGAACCAAAACCGAACTAAATAATTCATATCTGATTTAAATCCAAAACCGATTAGATCCGAAATCGATAATATCTGAACTGATTAAACCCAAAACCGATTATATCCAAAATTGATAATACCCGAAACCGATAATATCCGAACCCGATTAGTATTAAAATTGATAATTCAGAACTATGTTTGCCTTTCTATAAGCATATTATATTTTTAAATTTTTACTTTTATTTTACCATTTGAACTAATTACATTACTTGCTCATTCCCTCATAAAATGGATTATCTTCTTGAAAAAAAAGTATAAAATTTCATGTCTTAAATTTATTATATGTAGAAATTAAAGATAAGTTATACATATAAATGATAACGCACAAACAAATAAAATTTTCGTAATTTTTAAATAGTGAAGTGTGATATTTTTTTGGGACGAAAGAATTATATGATGAATTGTATGGAATAACTAGATTTTATCCTAATTTCATCCCATTACAATAAATTATATTGATTTGAGAGTTAATTTGATTAATTTCAAACTAATTCACTCAATATTAGGCAATAAAATTAGATACTAGTGTTAGGATTTTGAAAAGACTCTCTAGCGGCAGCATTTAGTGTTATCATTTTTAAATTTGATGTACACCATTGCATTCAAGTGTAAAAATAATTATATTTTTTACTCTATTTAATTTAATTTTATCTATTTTCAACCAAATATACTCAATAATTTATAAATTTTGCACTCAATTGAATAAAATTCACTTAATTTCACCTAAT